CCCCGCCACCCCCCTCCCCCTTCTCTCTTTTTTTGTTCGATTAATGCTATGGAATTTCTTTTATGTAACCTGGTATGTTTTGCAGGCACGCTTTTTCTTTCAACAGCTTATATCAGGAGTCAGTTATTGTCATGCAATGGTGAGTAACTTTAGTTTTGTGCCTTTACTTTTGTGAAAGAGAATACAAGTTGACTCAGCTAGATCCCTTTTGCTGAATTCCACTCTAAAGCAAGTATGCCATCGGGACTTGAAATTGGAGAACACATTACTGGATGGGAGTCCAGCTCCTCGTTTGAAGATTTGTGACTTCGGGTATTCCAAGGTACGTGATCAGTGCCATTGTGGAATTTGAATCTTTAATGTTCAATTTTGAAACAAAATATCATTGATCAGTGCATCAAAAGGTGTTTGCAACGCATTCAACTCCTTCCTTTTGGTGAGGGGTCCCGCTGTTTCTTTCCTTCTTCCCTTTTCCCCTCCCCTTTTCTCATTTCATTGTCTTTGATTGTCCATATACATTTATGTTGACACTGTATACTTGTACCAGTCTTCAGTACTGCATTCACAACCTAAATCAACTGTTGGAACTCCAGCTTATATAGCTCCTGAAGTGTTACTAAAGAAAGAATATGATGGAAAGGTAATATTGCTTCTTATTTGTCTGGATTAAAAACTTTCATATACTTGTCGGGTGCAAGTTCTGTTCAACTAAGAATGTTGTGTTCTCAATAAACAGGCTTCTGCGGTATTGTTTCAAAGAACTATTCTAGTCTCAGCATGTAAATCTTTTTTCCTGTATTAAACCTTTGATAGCAACATTAATCGCCTCTTCTGCTGTCAGTTATTAATTGCTTTATTCTCCTGTCTTACCTGAATCACTCTGGTGGTACATTGTTTTACTGGCTCTGTGTTTTAAACTTCTCGGCATATTAATTAAGAGTGATAACGAACTAGCATCATGTCTTACTATAATTTGGTTGAAGATGAACAGTACAAAATCTCAGGGATTAGGCAATGTAATCTGCCAGGCACCTTTTAAGAACACTTTGGCCTGTGTGTTTCCTTGCTTTGATTTCAGTATATGTGTGATATATCTAATGCTTCTTTGCATCATTCCTGTTCCACTAGAGGCTACATGTTGCGTAAAGTTACCAGTTCTGACGGGATAAGAATAGTTACTAGTGAGAAGACAATCTGTATTCATCCTACCAGTTCTGAGAGGTTAAGAATACCATTATTAGTTTAGTTCAGTCGACCCTAACGGAAGATGTAGAATACTTTTGAAGTTTGATTCATTCATAGTTGCTGTTATGTGGATGCGATCAATGGATTGAGTAGGATATGTGAGGCAGATTAGAAATGTGATTTGGCAGGAATGACATTTTCAATTACTGGCTGAGGCTTCAGTTCTAGCAATTGAATCTTATAGCCAAATAAATTATTTTGTAAAATCTGCGTGATGGTATATTGTTCAATTATTGTGGTGCTTAATGTTTAATGGTTCAATTCCCAATCAAAATACTTCAATAAAGTATAATGGTAGTGCAGTAGTATGAGAGCAATTATATTACAGTCACCCAAAGCACATGCAAACACATGTTTCTCTTAGTAAGAAATATACATGCTAAATTTATCTTTTTCCAATTAAATATGTCAGGTTGCGGATGTCTGGTCTTGTGGGGTAACCTTATATGTTATGTTGGTCGGAGCATATCCTTTTGAAGACCCTGAGGATCCTAAGAACTTCCACAAAACAATACATGTAAATTAATTTCTTTTTCAATAATTGAAAGTGGAAACTTCTTTAAAATCTTGACTAATAAATCTGTTGGTTCTCTCAGCGAATTGTAAATGTCCAGTACTCAATCCCGGACTATGTCCATATATCTCCTGAGTGTCGTCATCTAATCTCAAGGATTTTTGTGGCTGACCCAGCAAAGGTTAGTTCTCTGTTTGTGACCTGAGTTTATATTCATGCCTCTGATATTTCGGGATAGTGCTACTATGCGTCACAAATCACAAACACTATCTTTTGATGGTTTATGTTTTATTTCTCTGAGTAATGATGTAAAATAATTCCTAGTAACCATACAAGTTCGAAGTTCCTTTTCCCATGGTACTACGTCTGATTGATCTTTATTGCAACAGAGGATATCCATTCCTGAAATTAAGAATCATGAGTGGTTTTTAAAGAACCTACCAGCAGATCTCATGGATGAGAATGCAATGAACAGCCAGTTCGAAGAACCTGATCAACCTATGCAAAGTGTTGATGATATTATGCAGATCATCTCTGAGGCCACTATTCCTGCGGCTAATACAAATAGTCTGAATCATTATTTGACTGGTAGCCTGGACATTGATGATGATATGGAAGAGGACCTGGACAGTGATCCTGAACTTGACATTGATAGTAGTGGAGAGATAATATATGCGATGTGATTCTGATCGTGCCCGTGTGCTGAGAAGGGTGGTCATCCAATGTTCATTGAAGTTTAACCTTGGAAATTGGAGCTTTGGGTGGGAAAGGACAAAGGAGGTATCATTTTCTTGAAAGTGGGGGACAGTATAGGTAGGGATTTCTCCGTCAAGCGAGAATCCAGCATTGTGCTTGTGTTCTCTGTATCACTAAATGCCCTGCCACTTTGAAGTGGCATATGTACTGTTTTTGTAATCTTGTAACACCTGTAATGAAGTCTTAACTTTGTCTTTAATTGTACCGGTGACACCTTGTCTCCATTTCTAGAAAGTTTGTTATAGACTTACAGGCACAGCTTACAGTTCATGAAATGGTCCTTTTGCTCTAACATAAACCACAACTAGACCTTAGTTTAATTTAAAATTGGATAGTAATTAATCAATTTATAAGTGGATGAACATGACCATCCTAATCAGGGTCAATTTGATTGTGTTTAATGGAATAAAATTAAGCCGCAATGTGAAAAGAGTATGCATTTATCTCCTGATTTGTTAGGTTCTGGCAAGTGGAATCTCACCTGGCCTGTATTTTGAGCAGCACCAGAAGGATCAAAGGTCAAATTTTCTGTCGTTATCACTAGCCATATCATCATTGAAAATTTATAAGAGGGATCCAAATATTCTCCTTTTCAGAAAAACGGCAGCAACTCTGCTCATTCAACCACAGATGTTTGTCAAAGCACCTACTCAAGAAACTTGTCCCCTTCAAGGAACCTTCTTCCTCAATGCATTATAAGTTGCAGAATGATTAGTTGATCAGGGATGTTTTCTAATGAGATCTGAATGCAATAAACAGCAGAGAGGTTTTTTTTTTTTCCATTTTTCTTTCTGAAGAGGTAGAATCTAAGTTTATATTACACACCCCGGACAAATACATCCTCAATGATGCAAAGATATGGGTAACCTTAGTTTTTCCTCGGAAGAATAGTCCTTAACAACTGACCTTAATTTGGTATTTATGTTTGAGCATGAGCTTCCTTTCTTGTCCAAAAGACAAAGGAACATATCTATTTTCCATGTATGGCCTAGTTTGCCACGAAGACTAAAAGGGTAATTGATGTATGAAACACTTGTCGAAACTATCAATGCATTCAAGCTTTTAACCATAGTTAGGACCATATCCTCGTGATATTCTGTCCTGGCAACAAGATCATAGGGTGTGCTAATTCTCCAGTCTCTCTCAAAACTCAAGGTTGAATTAAGGAAAATACAAAAATGGCATTGGTGTTCAAAGTTTCAAGCCAAACATCCCAAGCACCAGCTTGTTCGATCTCCCAGCTGGAGCCTTCTCCAATTTTGATAAAATTCTCCTAAACAGCCTTCTCTGGGCAGTTTTTTCTCTGACTCAGAATGCCACCTGTTATAAAACGGGAGACATTAGCAATGCCATGAAGAAGTGAATATATGACGTTGGTAATTTTGAAAGTGAATTTGATTACTACATAGGAATAGAAAATTAAAAAAAAATGTTGGTAGAAATGCAAATAACCAACTTCACAATTAGACTTCAGTAAATGATTAATTAAAAACATATCCGACATTTATCAGTTGTTTTCAGAGGGACAAATTTGATTATCCCTACACCTGGCTATCATGTGATAAGATTAACACCAAAAGTCAACTGCACAAACTACCATTCATTTTCTAAGAGACAGACATGCATATCAGGTCCAAGCACTTTTACCTGTTCAGATTACAGCCTATTCAGTTTCAGAGTCACTTGCATTTACCAAACTAGTCGGCTGCACAGCTCCTGATATATTTTTGGGTCTTCTATACCACAAAAACATAAACCATAGGGTCCTCAATAGTGCCCCATTTGCAAAGTGTGGAATGAAAATGCGCCCCCAATATGGGTAATATGGGCCTGGCAATTTGATCGATGTAAAGATTATTACAATAGCTATTAGGTGCCAGGGAACTTCTGCATCCTGAAAATCAAGTCATATGATCAACAAATTGTTATGTGCTGACATTTTTGATAATTCCTATATTTCAATATATTTTATTCAAATGTGACAACAACAAACTTGTCCAGACATTTATTTCTCTATGTGCTGAATTCTATGGGGAGCACATTGGGGGATGCTGTGAGGAACGTCTGCTATAACTCAAATTTACCGGAAACACCAAGAATATTATGACATCTTTACCTTCGTAACATCTTTTATTCATTAGTGACAAAAATACATACCTTGAGAAGAGGAGAAAGTTCCAAGGCAGTTTCTTTCAAAACCCCTGCGAGTACAAAGCCAATGAGTAGGGGAACAGGGATAATAGTCAACTTCTTTTCATGTGCACAGTAGGACATCTCACTAAGGGAGGACACTGCCAGTAAAGGTACACTTAAATATTTGACAACTGCCAATATAAGATCAAGTATGAGTTGAACAAAGTTCTCCAAAGCTCTGTTCCAGGGGAATCTCTTCACCGGCAGAGGAGCACTGTCCCACAATCTTCTTGCCTTTTCTATTACATGGTCAAAATTTATTTTTTCAGGATCACCTGATTGACCTGTGGCCATATTTATTGCAGAACAGATACTTGTCTTAGTACTGCTCCAAATGACTTGCTTTCGTTTCATGGTCAAACTACATCTGTGTGCTTCAAGATACTGAGATGAATCCTGCTAAAAAAACCAGCACAACAAAAAGATAAATAATAATCTCTAGAAGCTAAGAAAAAATAGTCAAAAATACATTAACATGCAACCCATTGACCTTGAAGAACAAACATCACTATCTTATTCCCTTGGATCAAAATAGATAAATAAAGATCAATTCCAGCTAAATGGAGAATATCGTTGCAGATAATCCCGTTCAGAAAAGAGAGGATGCATGAATTTTCCACACATTCAAATGAACAACTATACTTTTAAAGAAGAACATAGTACTTGCTTCTTATTACACAGATCGCAGAATGAAACTTTACGAGCAATTCGCCAAACAAAATCAAGCAAAAAGGAATTCATATCAGGGCAACTAAGAAGAGGTATACCTCAAAGAACAAAAGAAAAAATTAACACTGCCACAAATAAGTCCTCAAAGTGATTGGCGAAACTAATTTAAGAACTGAATTACTTCTCCAACTTGAACAGAAGAAAACATGTGCAGTACACATATAATTTTCATGCTCCTTCGGACTTACTAAGAATCCCACAACCAACTATCTAATAACAACCTATTATAAAATCCTGGAACCTTCTTCTCTCACCTATGAACATAGTCAGATGAGGGGATGGGGCGCACCTCAAGCGGCCAAAGCTTAATATTAAAAGGAACAACAAAAAGCAGTGTTAATGGAGCCCGTTTCGTCAGGATTAAGACTAATAGAATACAAAGTAACAAGGGATAAAAGAAGGCTAGTTGAATGAATGAACGTGAAGCTACTATAGAATATTGAATACTATTAGACCCCTCATCCCCCAAAATAAATGAAGCTGCATCACACATTACAACTAAGATTATGGCTTCATAATTGGGCAATTCAAGACCCATTTCCAAAATCTATATTCTTATTAGCCAAACATTTTAATGTAGAAACATAAAGAGCATAAACCTACAAATAATAAATCCAATGAGAAACAAAACGTAAACCCCAATATTCAAAATGAAAAGCGTTGTCTACTCAACATATACAGGAGAAAAAGGGGCAAGAGAAAAGCTTTACCTTGAGCTTATGAAGAAAAGGAGAATGAATTTTAAGAGACATTTTAGGGAAGCCATGGAAATGGGTAGATGCAGATAACAAGTGAGAGGAACATGGACTGGTCGTTGCCATATTCGATAATCTCAAAGACCCTTTTCAGAGGTTTATGTTAAACGCCTTGAAAATGGGTTTTTCATGAATTGCACCTAAACGACATTGTTGAAATTGTCGTGGAAGACTTGGTCTGGGGGGATAAGATTGAAACTTTTGATGGTGGGAACTATTTCCTTTTCTTAAAGCTTATAGCGGAGAAGCGTTTCTGTTGATGAAGGGTTTAAGGGGTGGAGCCAGGATCTGCTAGTGCTACGGCTATTTTACGCAACCGTGAATCTTGCATCGGTTCGGGTCAGATTTTGATGTCTACGGATAACAGTGGTAATTACGGAATATTCACAAAAACCGACATGAAAAAGATCAATGTTCAAATGGAGGAAAGAACAAGTAGGCTACTCATCAATGATACTTATTTTTCAATCTGTTCAGGTGGCCTTATTACCTCTCCAATTAGTATTGTTAGCTTTGGCAATGTCCAGAGGGTTGAAAATGGAGTAAGGTATAATTGCAAGGAAATAAAAGCTTATTATTTTCCCAAGAGAACACTGGTATCAGATTATCAAAAGCCAATGCTAATTCATACCAAGGCTTTTGGCAAATCAGGCTTTCATTTTTTGTTTAACTGCAACACAATTACTGACTTATTGGAGAAAGCAAAGATGGAAATTTGGGCCTTCCATAGATACAAAATCATCTTATTTTCTATAGTACAACGGAGGAATTTAGCCCATTTTAGCAACTAACTATTGATTTCCCAACAAAACTTGGACTGCATCTTCAACCAAATACTCTTTTATGCTACTTGCTCAGGACTCCGGAGACCTTGAAAACAGGATGGAAGCCTTTTCGATTTCACAATTCCACTTCACAGCCACCTGCAAGAAACAATAAAATCAGGCATTTAAGCTAAAGAACTCGAAAGCTGGTGCCAATTTTGTATGTTTATTACTTGAATATGACCACAATAGAAACAGAAAGTGAAGTAATAACCTTACTTCAGAAGGGAAAAAAGGAAGAATATGTCATGGAAACAAGGGCTGGTAGAGAAGCCCTGTACTTTCTGGATAACCTAGCATTATATTAAGATTTTGTAGTGCTTGACCAGAAGCTCCCTTCACAAGATTATCAATCTGCGGAACAGGTTTTGAGAGCTCAGAAAACAATAAGAGGACACTATAATATTTTGCATAGGATGTGCACATGCTGAAGGTTAATACATACAACTGATATGATTATTGCCCTTCCAGGGATTCGATCAGGAAAGACATTCATAAAACAATAGTTAGAACCTCGAACATTATGAGTACGAGGAATAACTCCCTTTTCTAACAATTTTACAAATTCTTCATCCTGCCAGAAAGAAAAAAATAATAAAGTAAAATCAGTATTTAAGACCCAAACACCACTGAGAAGAACAAACAAGAGTCATATAGACTAGCAGGTATAGCAAGCACAAGCCCACATGCGAACTGTAACCATTTAGAACCCTACAATAAAATAAGATATACCTGACAAACAAAACAAAGTATAAAACCAATCAAGTTAGATAAGATGTACCTCATAACATTTTCTTAATTGCTCATATAAATCCTCAATTGTCACTCCTTGAGACATTTCCACATATATTGTTGATTGCATTCCACGGGTCTGATTTGACAATCAAGGAAAAGAGAGTCACATGTTCTTAATTCTTTTGGAAGGAAAGAGAATAGAAAGCTATTAACACTGAAACGCAGTTTATTACAAATCTTACCATTGGCATTAGGTGTGGTGTGAAACTAACGGTTATTTTTAAATGTGCAGCATCAGATAGTCCCTGTTCAATTTCTGGGGCTGCAATGAGAACAGAACAAATATTAACACTGTAATAACTTTGGCCTCCAGAGTTGCATTACAACCATATATTCCACCTAGCATAGTTCCATAAATAGATGAAGTACCATTACCATTTCCTAATTAGGCAAAAAGAATACAACAACAATAAGAATATAACAAATATAAACTGGTCAGGATCCATCTACCTTAATTACAAGATGAAGACCATTAAGTAAACCCCAAAATCAAGATGCATAGGATTCCATGTACTCACCATGGCGATGTCTTGTAACACCATAAGAATATATTCCTTCAGCTATTTCAGAGTATAAATTTGCTTCCTTGGCTCCACGTCCTGTAAAAGGTAATCTAGATCAGAATTGCTACAAAGAAACACAGCAACATACAGAAACTGTTGTTAAAAATGTGCATGAAGATATAGAAGAAGGAGAAAACCAACCGGCTCCACTCACACCAGATTTTGAATCAATAATGATATTTCTGGGTTCAATGAGTTTAGCCTGCAAGTTGAAGGCAAATCAGTAAGATATTGGATGTCTAATATTATTAACTAATGATGGATTCACATGGGCACAGCATCAGTGGTACAGCAATCAAGCAAAAATGATGATCAAAATGGGTACACATATTACATGCATCATTCATTAAGCATCTATATCAACAAAAATTTAAACATCAGCTACTCAAGTGAATAAACATGTGACATAAAACAACTTAAAACACAAGAAAAAGGGCACAACCTTTATCAAGGGAACAAGTGGAAGCTGAATAGATGTTGGATAACAACCAGGATTAGCAACTAGACGTGCACTTTTCACTTCCTCCCTTAAAATCTCTGTCAAGCCATACACAGCTTCTTTCTGGATTAAGTTGAAAACTAACCAGTTAACATAAAGAGTAATATCGAGGAAAGCAAAACAAAACTCTCAATGGAAATGTCAAAAACAATAGCATGTGGCATTCTTTCTTGAAGAACAACTATGTAAAGGATAGAAAAATTAATCAGTTACAAGATCAGTTGGCAGAATAAAATATAACCAGAGCTCATTCTCAACAACAAGGTCCAGTCAAGTATAGGAAATCTGAGGTGCTAAACAGAAATCTTCCCACTGGAACTTGAAGTCATATATGAGTAGGTACAATAACCTTTGCAATAGTAAAAATTAAAGGATTATCTGCATTTTATTAAATAAAAGAAAACCTGCAATTCTGGTGCACTATGGGGCTGACCATACCATTCCTCATATTCAGCAATATCTCTCAGCCGAAAGTCCTGAAATTATTGCATAATACATTACATGGGCAGAGAACCTTACACCAGGGATGCAAACAGATCTTTAAAAGAATAAAAAACAATACCGCAGAAAGATCAACAATCTTCAAATGGCGGGGCAGGCCTCTGATGATTTCCTGAAAATATTTAAATGAACAAAATTCACTATGATAAGAAGACTATTTTGAAGTAAGGAAGATAAAGTTTGTCAGGTTATGAAGGTACAGAGCACCTGTGTAGTTCCATGAGGCAAACAACAGAACACAGCATCCACGTTAGAGAAGTCTGCATCCTTGACCGAAACCATAGTTGGCAGATTCTGCAAAAAACAAACGGACTCAATGACCATCCAAAAGAAACACTACAATAACATACTTGACCAGCCGCAGATAATAGGCATAGCCACTATTTTTAACATTTACAATTCAATATATTGAGATGACAAAATTCACTCTTGCCCCAAAATTAAAGTTTATTGTCGGAACCTAGAAAGAGTTCTTGCTTACTTGTGTTATCAAATGAGGAAACACTGAGCCCATTGATTGGCCTGCTTTTCTATCAGCAGTCATCAGCGTAATGCCAAAGTATGGATGGTTTGCTAAGAGCCGAACAATCTGTGAGAAAATAAACAAATACATAAAATAGAATCAATTTTTATGCTACCAGTTAACAATTAACATAGAGGTAAATAGTACATAACAAAAACCTCAAAGCTAGAGATATAGTGTAAATATAAGAAATTTCAAACCTCAGCTCCAGTATAACCACTAGCACCCAGAAGACCAATGCGAACTTCCTTTTTGTTCTGTTGTGAAGATTGCATACATTTTGTAGACAAGGCTGACGCTCCACCTACATTGAGCCTCACTTTTTCATTTCGATTCTTCAGTTTTGAAATCTTTCCTTCCTCCTAAAGTTTTGAACACCCAAAGTTAGGTTTTTCAAAAAATAAATAAATAAATTTAACACCAAAAATTCAAGTATCTTGAAACTAAGAACTTTGATTTTGTTTCTTTTCTAGCATTTCCTGGGGAACCAAACAATGAGCTTTCGTCTGAAAACAAACCTTCCACAAATATCCTTGATTGGAACAAATTGAACTGAAAGTTGCAGTGCTCATTTCTAATCAAATTCTGCAACACCAAATTCAAAAAAAAAAAAAAAAGTTAAGCTTTAATGGATAAAATGTAATCATGTTTGGATTATATAGCGGATTGAACACTTACGGCCTCTTGTAAAATCTGCGTTTGTTTGGAAAGAAAAAATAAAAAGTTGGTCTAAAATTGTTCCCAGTGAAAAAGATGATGCTTGAATTATTAGACAACCAAAATCAATACCGAAAACCCTAGAATCTGAAAAAGGGTTTTGGTTCTGTCTTGTCTTGTCTTGTTTGTAACTGTATGTTGAGGTCCATGTAAAACTCCGTGCAACCTCGTGACGTGGAGAAACTACAAAAGAGCTCGTGCGGAATCCAACGGACTTGATTCGAGCAGCCAGCGCCCAGTCGCCATTCACGCCCTCAAGGCATCGCGAACGCAGAAATTGACTACTCTTTGCATTAAACAGTTCTAATTCTAATTTAGGAATCAAGCGCCTTTCACATACGTCAGTGCTTAGATATTGGTGAAATTAAAGCCTTGCCATATTTACTTAAAAAATTAATTAGATATATAATAATAAATAAAAAAGAAGAGTGCAATTGAAAATTAGTGGAAAGTAATGGAAAATGTGTTTTCATCGAATAAATTATATAATATACATTGAAAGCTAACTTTGATTTCTGTTTGGGTCGCAACTTGTTGCAGCTGGCGATTTGCATTTCCGCAGAAACATTATTTACAAGGAATATTATACAAGAATGAAAAAAAAAATATTAATGTACATCTCAATGAGCCTGGAATTGTTAGCAAAATGCTTAGTATTGCATCCTCCTATCGATCTAATGTAGAAAGAAATGGAGCTTGGGGTACCCTTTTTGGAGTATGACAGTTTTCATCTGTTCTTGAGCTTACTGGTGAAGTCTGGGGCATTAGTTCTGACAATCTGTTTCTTTCACTGGTAATTCTATTCTGCAAAAGAGTTTGTTGGTTTGTCAGTTTATTTCTTCAAAAGATTGCTAGTTTAACAGAAAAGCTGAGAAGAATGTGTATGTATATGTATATGTATATGTATATGTAATTACACACAGCATTTAGCATACAACCGAGACCCAGGAAAATCATGTGTCTTGTGTATGTGAGTTATTGACCTTGAGGGTCAAACCCTGCAATTCTCGTTCAAGTGAGATGACTTTGTTTTTGAGGTGCTCAAGTGCCTCTTCAGCGGCCGCAGGACAGATGTCAGACACAGGTTTTGTTATACCAGCAGCCTGAAAGTTTGGTTCAAATGAGACCGATAAAATTCCTGAGAAACCTGAGGGGTCAATCACTGTTCACGTACCTTTAAAACACTTGTGCACAATCCCAATAACTTCTGTGCTAACTGCACCCGGTCATCATCAGATTCCTGTGACAGATTTATAGACGGTTATACTTCTACAAACTGCGTTAAAGCCTACTAAGATATAGCTGTGTGGACGGTTACCCTCAGTTTATTAGTCAAACGTTGCTCCTCGTCAAAATTAATATGAGGATTTTTCCCCATAGAAGCACGATAATGAGCAAGCTCTTCCCTGACACGTGAAAGGACAACCTCTGTCCGGCGCAGTTTGGCACCGAGGTCTTCGTTTTGAATTTTTAGTATGTTGTTTTCCTCCTATTGCATCATTCATGGAAGAAAAGAAAAACACAGACAGATCAGAGTTGGCAACTTGACATTGATTTGGAGGAGAGGAAGTCCTTAAACTTAAGACCAAGTTCAATATCACCCAAATTTAGTAGCAAGAAGAAAACGTAAAATCTTGCCTTAATTTTGGCATGATGATGAATTCGCTGTTGGAGGTTTTGCTGGCCAGACAACTTCTTTACTTCTCCTTCAAGTTCCATTACTTTCTTCTTGTAATTTACATTCTCCATCTACATATACGCTAGGGAGTTAGGCCCAAAATCCAAGGTTCAAGAAGATGAAAAATCAGTCACACACTCTATACGAGGACCAACTAAATATGACACTTGATTAAATAGAACGGTTTTAAGACTTTAACCTTAAGCATTTCATTTTCAGTTTTAAGCAACTGATCTCTCTGACGAAGCTTCTCCAATGCTATTTGGGCAGCTACCACCTCAGCCTGTTTCCTATCGATTTCCTCAAGCCACCTGTTAAAAGAAAATGTGCAGCAGACATGAGCATAGTTAAAATATGAAATAGATAACTGAAAATAACCTTTGTTGCTCCGACTCTTCGTTTTCCTTGAAGTACCCATGTCTGATATATATCCCATGGATATATGGCTGTAGTGATCCGACCCTCCAAATATATGGAAAAACTTTAAAAAATTTTGATCGTACCCGTATCCAACACTTACCCCCAAGTCCTAGTAACATAAAAAATAACCAAAAAGAACTTGAGCTTAGGAGCTGCTAATCTCACCCTTGCCTCTCCTCGACAAATTCATTGAGTTGCTGCTTAAGCTTGACAACCTCATGCTCCTGTACAAATTACATAATTCAAATAAATCAGAACACATAATAGGCAACATAAATTCAATATATCCAAGCTAACCATACCTTCACTTGAGATTCTAAACTACTAAGTCTAGCCTTCTCTGCTATTTTCTGCACTTGCTGATTATCCAACAGTGACTACATTCAAAAGAAGAGAATCATAAGATAGACAAATTCAACCGTAACTGTATGTATGAGGTTTTTTTTTTTTTGTTGGGGGCAGGGGGTACGGATTTTTTTTTCTTCCCATGAGAAAAAGTAATTTTTTCTTTGATCCTAAACCAGCATATACTTGCCATAATTAAAATGGTGGATATAGAAAATCTGGTTACCACATAATTGGTCATATCCAATTTGACTCCCAATAAATCTCGAATTACATCATGGGTCATGCTCTCAGCAGCTGCTAATCTTGCATTGAGAGCAAATATCTGGGGAAAAGAACATGTTTAAACAAAGTAACTAGCGAGTCCAAAGACTATAAGAAGCTGTAGAATGAATATCCATGCGGTAAAAGCCTACCTCTTTCTGTCGATTTGCTGCTAGGGATTCTAATTCTTCAATGCGCAGCCTTGCAGCAGTAAGATCCTCATCCTTCTCAGATTTTACTTGTTGTGCCAAGCCCAAACCAATGCATTTAAACGGGGAACCAGAGCCTCTAGACTTTGCCACATTTTTTTCTGACTTGTTCGATGACTGACTTTGGGCATGGCTAAAGTATCCTTCAGGTTTAACTTGTTCAGCCATGGCTTCCAATGCCTTGAACTGTTTCCAATTTTCATAGTTTGTCCGAAGGTTAGAGAATCAAAGAAAAAGAACATATACTCTAATCCTATATAGGCCAGAAAAAATGCAGCAGAACTGCCCAATCCAATCAATATCCATTGGCATACCTTCTGCTTATACTCCTTCGCCTGGGCTTCTGCATGCAAATTTAGTTCAGAAATATGTGATTTGCATTGGGCAATCTGTTGAACAATATCAGAAAGATATCAATAACACCGCACCCACCTTGGAAAGGAAAAACCAAAGGCTTCAAAAATTGCATTTCTCTGCATTATAAGCTTAAAACAAAGTTACACAGTTCAACAGAAAGTTTTGACCTCTTTATCCTTGTTAGATATATCTCTATCAAGAATTTGTATGTAATCCAAGGCTTGTTGAAGATCTTTCTTCTTCTCATCTAAACACCTGCAGATAGAAAGAAATCATATATGGCCAATTAAAATCATTATCATCATTTAGAAAGGTTATCGCCACTGTAAAATAGATCAGAGCAATATTGCCAAACCTTTTCATGTCAGCATCAGCATTTTTGACATTCTGCATCTGATTTTTTACAGCATGAAGCTCTAATTCTAGCTCCTCTCTTTGCAATCGTTGACGTTCAGCTTCTCCTTTAATAATGTCAACCTAACACCAGTTTGGGATTTGTTAAACATGGTTATCAAAGAAGTAGTACTTTCATGCAGCTTTATCACAGTGCAAAATCACACCTTGTTTTCCAGTACATTTATGGTACATTCTAGCTCTTCAACAGATCTCTCTAATAGCTTCACCTCAGCTTCCTTGTCTTCAGCATAGCTCTTGTTTGATTCAGCCATCTATCATCAAATTTTATGGATACAATTATAAGACCTAAATCAAATCAAAAGGAAGAAAGGGATACTATTTTATACAGTGTTAAACCAGACCATACCTGTTGAGCTTCCATAGCAATAGCTTCACTTTGTTTAACCTCAACATGTGCCTTTCCAAGCTTTTCTTCCAAGCTAAGCACCTCCATGTGAAGCTGATCTCTTTCACCAGCAATTTCATTTAAAGTACTACTCATGGACTCAACAGTATGATTCATTTGGGAAAGGGCATTACTCATTTCTGAGAGTTCCACCTCCAAGCTCTCAATGATCTTCTTTCTCTCTCTTAATTCAACTTCAAGAGAACTTTTTGCACCTAAGGCATCCTCAATATGAGCTCTCAACTCTTGATTTTCAGAGCAAAGAAGTTTGAAAGACTCACGTTCATTTGAAATATCCAACTGAAGGTTGGAGATCATGTCTAGCTTTTCTTGCAGCTGAACTTCAAGCATTTGACTATGACTAACAGCCTCATTAAGTTCACTTGATTTTACAGCAAGCTCATCTTCTAAAGACTCCAAAGAAGAAACCATTTCCTCTATTTCATCTTTTTGATCCTTAGTATTAGAAGCAGACTCTTGTAGTAGGCTGAGATCAAATAATAGACCTTTCAAAACCTCATCCTTCCTTGATAACTCTGCCTGGAGAGTCACATTTTCGGATTCCAGCTTGTTGGCATGATGCTCTAAGTACTCAAACTCTTCTACGAAATTGGATATCCTCTTCGCATTATCAGCCAACTCCTGAAACATTTTATCTGCAACTGTAACACCTTTATTCATTGTGCTAAATAATCTACTACGCGTCATATCTGTAGTTTCCACTGAATCAACACATTTTGCAGCATTCAAGGCTGACTTGTTGAAGGCTTTAAGCTCATTTTTCTCCAGAGATCTAAGTTTCTTGCTCAAAAGAGCATTCTCTTCCATCAAAGTATTTACTCTCTCAACAGAAATTTGCAAATCATGACTTTTCAGACCTAAATCCTCCATGATGATAGATTGAGAAAGTTGGAGTTCCTTCAATTCAACAGCTTTCAGCTCTAGATCAGTTTGTAGGCTGGTAATGCAAGTCTCCAAGAAAAAAGTTTTTTCTTTCAACTGGTGAATTTCCAGATTAGAAGCATCAAGGCAACTTACAGAGGATTCAAGATCAGATCTTTTCTCCTCCAAATCCTGCAGAAGTAGACAGTTTTCTTTCTTCAACTTTCTTAACTCACTTTGCAATTCTTCTAGTTTTTCTTGCGTAAAAGACGACTCAATTTCCCACTCCACCAAAACCAGTTCTTTCAAATATGAATCTATTTTTGAAAGAATCATTTCTTTCTCCAAACCATCAAGGACAGCATAAGCATTTGTAAGCTCTTTTTTAGAATCAGCTAATTGAACAACCATTTGTTCCATCTCTGATGCCAAAATAAGAGACTCGAAGTCTTTCGTCCACGAGTCTACCATAGAAATCTCAGCCTGAGATTTGAGAAGCTCGTCTTTATCTTTGAGCAGTTGCTCTTGATCAAGAAGGGAAGCTACAAAATTTGTGTTACTCAAATCCAATTCCTTCATTAGAACTGTGAGCTGAGATCCCATATAGTTAGACCTTTGCAACATAACTTCCTCTTGAACCTGTAAATCAGAAATCCTTTTCTCAAACGTGACTAATTTTACACTAAGCTCACCAGTTTCCTCTTCCTTCTTTGATATTCGATCAAAACTATTCTTGATATCAGCTAGGAGCTTTCCTTTAATAAGTCTACACATTTCAAGCTCTCTTCTTGACTTGGAATTGTGCTCCCTCAAATCAGCTATAACAGCATTTGACTCAGACAAGCCATGCTGAAGCAAACCATTCTCCGCATTCAGCCCTGTCAAGGTTTCCAACAAAATTCCCATATGACACAGGTGAAGCACTGACACAGCACAGTCCTTCACAATAATCTCCGACCACACATCTTCAAGCCATGACCGTGCAAGAATCACAGAATCAAACAGCAGAGACTTGAGGGAATGGCAATCACTAGCTACAGCCATGACATTCTGAGAGAAAGCAGTTTGCAACTCAGTCATGAGACCCTCCAGTTCGGAAACCAGGTACGTTGTTTCTGTCAAACTTGTGCCAAACTGCTCTTCTAGGTTTTCAAGTTGCTGATCCTTCACAATATTAATGGATTGCAAGCTTTGCACCTGATTAACTAGTGCATCCCTCTCATTAACTAGTGTGGCTTCCACTTGCTTCTGCCTTTTAATATCAAGCTTCATGGTTTCATTAGCAATCATGAGCCCATTGATCATAATATCTGCTTCTGTTATGGTATCTTGTGCCTCCTCAAATTTAGCAAGAATACAAGAAGCCTCTGCAGCTTTCTGAGTTGCAATCATCTTTGCATCACCAACTTCAAGTTCGAGAAACTGAGCAACAGGATTGTAAAAGGAAAATATAAGGCAAAATATTAATAAAAACTAAATATACTTTACTTCTAGTTTATGAGGGTAAAAGCAATGTAGGAATCTGTTATAATATTGTCCAATGAGCTAACATGTTCTTTGGCCAAACTAGCAGTCCAGCTGTTTTTAAGCACTGAACTAAGCCTTTTTCTTTTTGTTCAGTTCAACCATTCAACACTTATTTTAGTTAAACTGAGCCATATCAACACCTACTTATATTATTGTCTGCCAAAGTGCTTGTTTGTTAGATGAATTGGGAACAAAAGCCTTGTAAATAATGACATGGACAAACCCGCCAAAATAGAAAAGTTTGTCCATGTCATTCTTTGTGTGTGCCTCTCCTTTGTAGGTGCAACAATGACATGGACAAACCAGACAAAACACCGGAAAAGTTTTTCCATGGTTTTAAAAACTGGATGTTTAAATAAATTTAACAGGTTACCTCTTTTGTCTGGCACCAATGAGTTCTTATTTCTTGCATGGATTGCTCAAATGTATTCATCTTACGATTGACAGCTCCAATCTTGAGTTCCCACAGCTTTCCGAATTCATTCATTGTTGCTTCCAGAGCAATTACATGTGTCGTGAGGCACCGTAGGCTTTCCTTGCTCAGTTTCTCAGACAACTGGATCTTCTCTTTTTCATCCCGTATTGTACCCATCTCTGCTTGAACCTCTTTTAAGCTTTCCATGGCTGATTTTATTTCCTTTTTCAGAAGAATAACGGTCACTTCTCTGTCACACACACTCTTGCAAGTTTTTCCAAACCCTAAACATTTCTCATTACGCAGAGACCCATGCTGACTCTCTCCAACTTTAAAGGAACAATCAGATATATCAGTTTCCAGCTCCTGAACAGAGTGCAAGTCCTTGTCATCTGCTCCTGCATTTGACTGCAACAACATCCAGGTGTAGCAAAAAATCGATCACCCTTTTCAAAGAATAACTACAACAAAAAAGTGAATAGCTGCTACGAATAAGCTGTCTATCAGAAACCAAGAGCATCAGCTTACCCGTCTTTCATCACTGCCATCATCAGAGGTATAAACTCTTTCTCTGACACTTCTTTCAGGACTTCTCCCACAATCTCTATACATGCCCATGTGAGCCCTGAGTGTGGATACACCAGTTCTTAGCTCAGACAGCTTCTCATGTGTCTTCAAAATGTCATTCTCCTCCATATCTTCAAGCTTTTGTTTCATAGCAGCAGCACGCTGTTCCTCCTCCAAAAGCCTCTGCCCAAATTCAGCACAGGCTTCCTCTGACTTCGCAACCTCACTTTGAAGGGAACGAATCTGTTTTTCAGCTTCTTCAATCATGGCAGCTTGATCAATGAGAATAGAGTCCTTACTTAAGATCATCTCTGCTGATTCTGCAAGGCGGATGTCCTTATCCTTCAATGCATTGAGATGTTTAAGGTTTGCCTCTGATAATCTATTCACAAGTACAAAAGCAACTGTTGCACAAACAGATGCATTTCTTAGGTCATCTTCAGCCATCTTCATTCTGTCCTGCAGCTTTGTTATAATAGATGTTTTCGTATCCAGTTCTGACCTCAGTAGAACAATTTCTTTCTGTTTTTCATTGCATTCTTGCTGCTGTGCTTCATTAATAACCAGTGCAGCACCTCTCAAAGACTTCAGCATGCACTCCAGCTCACTTCTTTTATCTGTTGCATCCTCTAGGCACCTGCCAAGTTCTTCAATCAATAATTCCTTTTCCGAGAGTATTCTGACCACCCTACCAACTTGCTCAGAAATCCAAATCCTTCTCTGTGGAAATGAACTGGAAATGGGATCAAGTTGATCATAGGCATCAACGAGTTCCTCATGACCATCAGCAAGAATATTTTCAATCTCAGAAGCCAGAAGTTCCCACTCTTCTGATAATGTTCTTAGTTCCCCATCTTTCATTTCAAGCCTTTCAAGTAACTCTTTATTATCTTCAGTCAACAAATATGCCTTTTCTTGCAACTCCTTCAACTCAGTTTCTAAAATGATGGCACCTTTTTGAGCCTCCATCTCTTTCAAATGACAATCTTGGACTTGCTGCTGAAGAATAGTAAGTTCTTCCTGCAAACAGACAATCACCTCAGCAGTTTCAGCTTCAGCCTGCCGACGAGTTTCATCCATTTCTTCTTCGTTAGATGCCAAATAAGCATGATCACTTTGGTACCACATATTCATTTTCTTGGCCTTCTCAAGAGAGGCATGCATCCTCTTCAGTTTCAGCTGGAGGGCAGAGTCTTCACTCTCAATCTTTTCATGAGGTGGGTAATCTCTAAACGCTCTACTGGAAAGTTGCTCTTTCAAGGCAACAATTTCAACTTCTTGTTCACTCAAAAGCTTCACAAAATGACTATTGGTTTGCCTCAAATCCTCCACCTCATTGATTGACAAAATTTGCTGGGACTCAAGTGCTTCAATTACAGACTTTGCCTCTTTTAGTTCACCATTTGCATCTTCAACATGTTTGCTCAGCAGCAAAAGCTTGCCTTGTGCTATCTCAAGATCTCTAACCAAGCACTTTGCCCTTTCTTCAACTTCATCATGAGTTGTTTTCTCTTCTTGAAGAATAATCTTCAGTATATCCAATTCCAACTGCAAATCCATAATTTGCTCCGCATTTTTCATTGCCTGAATAGCATTCATCTCCTTCAGATCCCCATTTTGATCTGAACCCTGAAATTGATGTTTAGTTCCTCTCGTTAGCAGGTAGATTGCAAAATCAAAAGGAAACAAATGGCTGGTCAAATATAACCATATTCTTAGGAACATAGGTACTGATTAATTCCATACCAATAATCTCAGTAACTCTATGTGATTTTTTCCATAGTAATTGAGATCCCATAAGCTAAAACAACAATAATAGCAAAACTAATAGTACCTTTATGGTCTTGATGTTGCCATCTTGATGGCAAGCTGAAGACTTGAGGCTATTTAACATAGTACGTAAATCGTTAATTTCTCTGCAAAAGATGCAAGAAAAATTCACCTTAGAAAGCAAGAAAATGCCTGCAACAACTAATAGTTTCAATCTTCAAATAAAGAAAGCCCAATTTTAGCTGAAAAGAAGACCAGATTGTCTGACCTACTAAGTTTTGCATTGTCCTCTATACAAGAATTAAGATTGTCCCTGCATTCTTCCAACTCATTGAGAGTGCTTTGCAACTGAAACGATATAAAAGAGTGACATATAAGTCCCAAAGACTAACGTTAAATGTATATTTCTGCCTAGCAAAGACAAACCAACCTCTAACTGTAGAGAGTTATTTTCTTTGCTGATGCAAACAACATCCTGTATTAGAAGAAAAAATAAATAAATCCAAGGTAGCCAATATTCATAAACTTTTAGGCCTTCATTTCCATTCTAAAAAGAGAAATGTAAAAAGAATAAAGTATCCTTCCTCTCATAGTTTCTCAAACCAAATATGTTTGGGTGACAAATTATAATAGGCAGTGTATAGAGACCTGCAATTGATCATCTGAGCTTGGGTAGCTATGCTGCTTAGACTTTCCATCAAGAAAATGAAGGAGCTGCATATAGAAGGCCAGAATCAAACACTCTCCAAAATAGAAATTACATGGAAGAATAACAACATTTTAAGCCAGAATTAGAAATACCTGATCCCGCAGTTTGGATATTTCCTCTAAGAGTATCTCCTTTTCTCCTTCTTCATAGAATTCTTGAAATCTACAAGTGCAGTAATGAGAATAAATAGCAAAATAACAGGTAGAATATTGACACTGTCATCTGTTTTCAGAATCTACCTTCTAAGTTGGTCTAAAAGTCTTATATTCTCCAAAGCAAAACGAGTTACTTCAGGATTTTTATCAACTTTAGCTTGAAGTAACTGAATCTCTTCTGAGAGTGCTTTATTCTCTTTGAATAAAAAAGAATCCACAGGTAATGAGCCACGAACAAGTGACTCCATTCTTTGAATCTTGTCTTCCCGAAACCTAAGCATCATTTTAGTGCTTCTAGTGTCTTCCTCCCTTTGACGAACCTGTAAAGTACTTATTGTTAAAAAATTAAGACAACAGTTTAAAATGCAACAAACTCAGAAGTCAGAAAGGAAACGACAGAAAAAAATTACCAAACGATTCAATTGTTCAATCTCTGCTTCAAGCTTCTTGATGCAAGTTTCTGCCATTTGCTCCCTTCTCAAAGCACCAGCAAGCGTTGTCTCCAAAGATTTTAACTGCACAATTTTCAGAAAAGTCCAAAAGAGATCATAATGTAAGTACACTTAGTTCGAAACTCCATTAAAGAAAAAAAAAAATCACCATTGCAGCATAATCCAACTACCTGCTTACTGGACATTCTCACAATGCCTCTGGATTCATATCCAAGTAAATCATCAACTTCTTGGCGACCGATTTCATATGTACTATCATCAGAAGGATTTTCTTCTGATTGCATTGTACCACTGATTGTTGGACCAAATGACAGAGATCGGGATACATTCTGATGTTTAAGAGCACAAAGCTCTTCCTGTTCAAGAAAAATAGTTTACATTACAGATTATTCAATTCACATGAATTTAGAAGAAAATAAATTATTATGAATGCACCACACCTTTAGAAGTCGTATCTGGTTTTGTAGTGCAATGACATCCCCAGTGGAATCTTCATTCACCACAGCCTACACCATTTACAGGAGAAAATTTAATAAGGAAAAACTTAAGGACGTTTATACAATATGTAAGAAAACTAAAAATACAATAGGAATAAACTCACATTGTTTTGAATTAATTTTGCTCGCTGAGCAAACTTTAGAGTGTTCAGGGTTTCAGTTGCACAGCTGCAGAAAAATAAAACGTAAAGAATGGGAGGAGGTTAATCAGAATCATCATAGTTAATCATGTCCAAGTTGAAATGCTTCAAAATGTGTCAAAAATAGAAACCAACCAGACAGAAGGGCTGACATTAGCAATTATCATTGTTTTTGAATTTCCACCAAGTGAATCCTGTGTTATATTTAATGTAAAATGTTACATCATAACAGGTAAAAGCAATGCAGTAAATAAGAAGAAAAACGAAAATCAGAAACTGACCTGAAGAAGAAATGTGAGCTTTGAGTCTCTATAAGGAACATGCCGTGGCTTTCCATGAGCCACATCCACAAGAATCATAATGACATGACTGCAAATGACAATCTGTTCTTACAATTTTGACTACCAAGAATAAAAGTAAAGCAGAAACAATAAATTCAAAAGCCTCAATATTTGTTGAAGAAATTTGAAAGAGTTTAAGTACCCTAGCGTTGACAAAGATTTGTTTATGCTAGCTGCTTCCTTTAAACGCTCACCCTCAGCACCAGAAGTTTTCTGCCTGTAGTAGAATATCAAAAAGACAGGAATCTCATTACACAAATGCAAGCTAAAATATATATAGTTCAACACCCCGGTGTGTATCTCACCTTTCTGAACCAGCAAGATCAACCAGGTTTAATCTTGCAAACCGCAAATTAGTTGTGGACTCTTTTTCCCACCTGCTCTCAATTACACATGTAAAAACGCTATGTGAACGACTGCTCTCCCTATTCATATTTGTCGCCGCAACTTTCCTATTTAAAGAGCCCTATGCACCAAAAGAACGGTGATTTAAAACAAGAATATATACAATGGAAAGAGCATGTCTTTCCAATGGACAGAGAGAGAGAGCAGCAGTTTCCTACTGCCCAAAGTATTGATAAAAATTGTAACCTGAGTTAAAAGCTTCAGAATATCACCCACTGTCTGAACTTCAAATTCAGAGAGATTTTCCACGTACACCCCTTTCTTAACATCTTCCCTCAGCTACAAATTAAGAATGGGAAAATGAAAAATAGCTGAAAGATATGAATGACAGAAATAAGAAAGGAATAAACTTACAAGCAAATTGGCAGCAGAAGGATCAAGAAGATCTGTTATTTGTTCATTATAAATCTCAAGGAAAGAGCATTTGCAATTGTATTTTAACTTCTCATCCCTTCGGATTTCCTCTTCCTGTAATAAAAAAATAGACAGAGAATTATTCGTGACCGTGGTTTCCAAGCTTATGTATTAAACCAAAAGTGACTGGCAAGAACTTCGGAAGAGAGACAATTACAGCTTGAATTCTAGCAAACAAAAACTCAAATATCCGTGGTGTCATTCCCCGTTGTGGACTTGGCTTGACTTCCAAATCTTCAATCTCACCAAGCATTGTATAGGTCTTTCCACTTCCTGTCTGCATGTCCAAACCCAGTGATGTCAAGCTAACTGATAAAGTTTAGAAGAAGGGGATAAAATGATTTGTTGAATCATTGTTCTAAGTTATTAGAGTTGAATTAAACAATCCATTCTAAACTTCCTATACTACTGCAGGATATCTCTAATTGTCCTATATATGTCTCATAATAGAAAGGTAGTAATTGATGCTTGGTTGCATATCTTTTCACAAGTTGCAAGGAGCAACAAAAGCTACAAAACAAACAAAATGACTTTCCTTCAGACAAGACTAAGTTTTGACTTTTCTTTCTTTTCCCTTTTGACAAGGTAGGGGGGCTGCCAAGAACAATCCTAGTTCTCATAGTCGTTTTAGCATGTAAACAACTACAAGGTTGAAACTCCATCGTATTGACACTTAAGCAAGGGTACCTGGACAAGTGTGCTACATTATCGTCACATCATTTTGGATATAACAAACTTGTAGGGAACATGTGCTCTATACTTGAACACCACAAATTAAAATATCCAACACCAATGTAGCAGTTCTGTTAAGTAAGCTAATAAATATCAGATACAAAGAAAGTCAGCTGCTGCACGTATATTTTTCTCATCCAACAAGCCATACATGTCGTAACATTTCTATTAGCTACTTCATTTGCCTAAATGAATCGAGAAAGGTAAGCAATTCCTGTTTTGCATTACCAATGAAAAGAAAAATGATATCAAAAAATCCTAAGTTTCAAGAGAAAGTACCTGGCCATAGGCAAACATACAGCTGTTATAGCCAGATAAGCAATTTTCCACCATTGGCAGACCAGCCATCCTAAAAAGCATTTCCTGCAAAACCAAATGTGTGAACATACGGATTACAGTAAAGGAAAATCTTTCTACATACAAATCTTAATTTGCCTTTAACCAAACCTGGTCTACTGTTTCACATGCCACATGATCAAACGTGAATCTAGTTTCTGGTTGCCCAATCCAAGCGATGCTTTGTGAATTTTCTTGTTTTAAACATCTGTTATAGCCATGTGTGCTCTTCTCCATGCCATTGAGAGGACGGACACGAATAAGAACCTAGGTAAGTTTTAGGAATCATCACCAGAGATAGCAAATTAGTCTAGAATTATCCTCAACCATCACAATAAACAATAAATTTGTGCAATTAACACACCATTCTTTCCCATTTCTATATATTATATCACAAAAATGAGAAATAACTGAATAAAAAGTGAATGTTAGAATGGTTTTACCTGTACATTGTGATCCATCCAAAAAGACGGGTCTTCTTTAAGGTCAAAGTGAGGAACTTCAACAGTATTCACAACAGTAGGCGGACCACAAGAAGAAGAACTAGGCACTCCTTTATACAATGCAGCAAAATTCCCTCCACGCATCCCTCCATTCCCATCAAATTTGTTCCTCAAACCCGAAGCCGGAGGCTTACTTACACTCTTCGTTGGCGTACTCTGCGTCGAATTGCTCTCCGAATAACAACTAGAATTAGCCCTCCCCATTCCCCTACTCACCCTTGGCGTCATATTCATCACCCCTCCATTTCGCAAATCAGATTCGGCCGCCTCATTCTTCGCCCAACCAAACCTCTTTTTGGACAAAAATCCATGTCTATCTGGGGTTTTAAGTGGCAAAGTCGAATCAGGGAGTTTAGGTTTTGGCTTAGTTGGGGTTTTATCAACTCGGCTTCGAATGCTTTCATCTGGTTCTGATGTAGGGTTTGGCGTTGGATCTTGAATCGTGTTGAGAGGAGGTCTACTTGAACCATCATTGCTCGGCTGAGAAGCTAGTGAGTCGCTAGGGTTCACTGGTACATTCTCGATTTCCTCGTTCTTGCTCGAGTTTCGCCTCAAGAATTTGAAATCTCTCAACATTCTGGCCAAATCAATGCGAAAAACAAAAGCGTTAAAAAAAGACCAAAAAAATGCAACTATGATTCAAAGTGCGTACCTAAAACTGGAAGTGAAAAACAGAATCCGAAATCGATTCCCTGCAATTGTTTCCTTGAAAGAAGAAAAAAGAACTTAGGGTTTCATGTCAGATCTTGGGAGATTTTGGTAGAAGTAAATGGATTATTATTCTCTGCTTCTTCCCTGGGTTTTTGGTGAAAGGTTTTTGGGGTTTGGTTTTGAAATTGAGCTGGAAGATGGACGGTGGAGATTTCATTTTAGATTTTGGAAAATGGACGTTTGGCGGTGTTTCGGATTTGAATTTGGGAAGGGTCTTCGGGTCAAAAAAGGAAAAGAACGAGGGTATCTTGTAATTATGGCATAGATTTAAATTTCTCAACGGCTAACATATCACAAGTTACAACGTGGCTTTTTGATCTGTGGGCCTAATTATTGATTTGTTTGTTTTTTACTTTTGTGGGAGGAAGGGTAGGGTACCCTACGTCTTTTTTTATAAAGTAAACAATCTTTATCTCTCCATTCAAATAAAAGAATCAGTAGTAAAATTCAAACATAATATGACCTTTTTGTCAAATTATCTTCATAAGAATGATGGATGTGCTTTTAACATTTTCCTTTAGATTTATACTTAATCCAAATTTTTAAAATATTTAATTTTACGATCATATGTTAATTAATTTATCAATAAATATTTAAACATGTAATATATAATAGTTTCTTGAAAAATTCTATTATGGCACATGTTCTTCCAGAGGAGGAGTTTGCGATTGCGTAATATGCAAAGAGCTCGGTATTTATAGCTTACTTATTATTTCTTTTTTCCCTTTAATGCTTTTGATATGTTGTCAAATTTTATGTATCATTTTGCAACTTTTATTTTCTTGCTTTTGTGCTTTCTAAGATATACTTTCATGGTTTTCTTCTTTCCTCTTTTTCAAAAATGCATGTTCATCTGTGTTGATTGGTATATATTTTTTGATATAATTTTTAAATATATGTGTTATAATTTTATTTTGATGAAAAGAAAATTATTTTAAAATTTGTATTTATTATTGTTATGATTTTAAACAATCCTTATATAAGTCGAAGTATAATGAACAATCCTTATATAAATCGAAATAAAATGATTTTAAATAATCCTTATATGAGTCAAAGTAGAAGATTAGAATGTTTCTCCAATATATATATATTTCATCCTTAACTCATATTTCATAGTTTCGATTTTAGAGCTTTCGCTTTTGATACAAATCGATTCATCAAAATTCATCTGAGAAATTTTCTATCACGAAAAAATACTAAAAGAAGATTTGAGATCATGAGTACGCAAGATAAAGTTGATGATTATAACAATATAATGAGTTTTGATGATGAGAGAATATTCAAGAAACGTCGAATTATTTCTAAACAAACATCTACTGAAACTTTCAAGCAAAATCTTGATGATAAAGTCCAAGTCTTTTCAAGCCAAGGGTTGAAGATGAAACTTGGAACATGTTATGTTCCAAAAGACAATGAGTTGAAGCCTTTAGGAGAAGATGCTTGTTTTATTTGCTACGAGGAACAAACTTTGGGTGTGGCTGATGGTGTTGGAGGATGGGTAGACATGGGCGTGGATGCAGGCGAATATGCTCGGCAACTGATGGCTAACGCCATTGTAGCTGTCCATAAAGAGCATATGTTTAAGGGAAGTGTTGATCTTGGCAAAGTCTTGCACGAAGCTTACTTCCGTACCAAAGTTGAAGGATCATCAACTGCTTGTATTGTCACGCTTAAAGCGGACATTTTACATGCTGTGAATGTTGGAGATAGTGGGTTCATGGTATTTAGGGATGCAAAATTGGTCTATCAATCACCCATTCAACAACGAGATTTTAATTACCCTTATCAATTAGGGAATAGTAAGACTAGTGATGGACCTGATATGGCAATGGAGTTATTTGTGAGGGTGAAGGCAGGGGATATAGTTGTTCTTGGCACTGATGGATTGTTTGATAACATGTATCCGACCGAGATGGAAGAAATCTTGAAACGTGAAACGAAGAAACGAGAAGGAAGTATTTGCCCAGAGAAACTAGCGTCGTTAATAGCAGGGTATGCATTGTACAACTCGTTCGATAAGTTTGCACTCTCCCCATTTGCAAAAGCTGCAAAAAAAGCAGGATTCAATTATATCGGAGGCAAAGAAGATGACATTACAGTTGTTGTAGGAATCATTCAAAATCAAGAGGCTGACCTGAAGTGATTTCATTCTTCTCATTCTCATGAATCATTGTTTTATTTTTTTTTCTTTGTTTACGAAAAGCATGCGTGAATGTATTAATGATTAATGTTAACATGAGTGTCAATCTGAGTTTGATGCCGTGAGCATCATTGCTTCATTAATTACTATTTTTCTTTTTGTACGTAATTGATTGAAATATAATTAGAGTCAACTTATTTTTATAAAATATTAAAAATATAATAATATAAACATCAAAAAAGAAGAGAATTAAGAAATTTATTTATTTCTTTACTTGCTTGCTAAACATTCATATTATTACATTTCTAATTTCACAATTATATCAAGACAGTCGTTTAAGATTTATTTATTTTATAAGAAATAGACAAAAAGAGTTTATTTACTTTTCTTTCGAAAAGATACATCAAAATCTAAAATTCATTTTAAACTCAATTCTATCTCAATATGTATATATATTTCCAAGTCAGTTTGTCACAAAAGCAAGATCAATAATTAAAAAAGATGAAAAGTCAATTAATATTTAAAAAATTAAATTAAAAAAATAAAAAAACTAAGCATCTATAATAGACTACTATAGCACTAGAAATGGACACAGAAAAGCTGAAAAAAGGCCGGTTGCCCTTATTTCCAAATTCCGACAATGGGCCATTGTCCGCAGCTTCAGGCTGCCTCTCGCCGGCATAGCGTTTTAACGGAAAAAACCATTTTCTTCCTTTCAATCTCTTATTGCCTTTAATTGGAGTAAATTTTTGTTCAAAAAAACTCTAGAATCTTTTAAATCTAATAAAAAAGGGACCTCCAAAAAACCCCCAAAAAAACCGTTTGTTTTTCGTTGATTGTTTGTTGGGTTTTTGTGGTGTTTGAACATGTGGTCAAAAGGGGTTTTTCAGATTTCCAAAATTTTTAGGGTTTCAAAGCCCTAAACTTTCAAAATCCTAAAATTGGATTTCCCAAAACCTAAAACTGGATTTTCCAAAACCTTAAAACCGGGTTTTTCTAGAATCGGTTTTCTGGAACCTTAAAACCGGTTTTCCTAAACCCTAAAAACCTAAGAACAATTTTCCAGAACCCTAGAACCGATTTCGAAAATAGAAAGAACGAGGCGCAAGAAGCAAGATTGACCAGTAAAAAGCCCAACTCGACCATAACTGTAAACCCAATTATTATCAGAGCCCAATATTCATCCCCGCCGAACTCATCATCATCATCATCGACCTAGGCCTTTAGCAACTACTTGGGTTAATTTTGATTTGATAAATTGGACCAAAGAAGGCCTCACACTAGGGCCATCTGAACTACATATTTGTGACTCTAAAAAAGCTGTAATATTTTTTAGGCTTCACTACAAAAAGAAATCTCAGTATTTTAACTTATTTTTCTTTTTACTATATGCTAAAGAGTTATGATTTCGTCGAAAGAATTTATTACGCAATCTTAATGTCTTATAGTCTTTTAAATTTTTATAAAATAAATAAATTTGTCCAATTGAATCACTTAAAACAATTTAGAAATTAATTAATCTGAGCTCTGTCTTCTCTCATCAAGCATTACTTATATTGAACTCTCCATGTTGTCAATTAGATGTCTGAATTGAAGGCGTCGTCATATCTACACATATCCCATCTTATCCACTCCATGATAAAAAATGTCGGCAGTAATGTTGTCTTCAACCCTGACTGCCCTCCCTGCAAATTGGGAGTTTTTGAAACAAATATAACCAAATTGTAATTTTTTTAAATTACATCATTGTACGGAACGAGGAATAAGGTAATAAGATAATTGATTTCAACCAACGTGTCCCTTTTCTTTCTTTCTTTTTTTTTTTTTTTTGAATAGCAAAGGTATCAAGTTTATTCATAGTGCAGGGACATGAATCCCTCCTTCCTTACACGTTAAAGCAGAAAACCTTTCTTTTTTTTTTGTTTGCTTATATTTTATTGCACATTTCTTTTTCTTTTGGATAATCTGTGGATTAACAAAATTATTGCTGCCGGCCTGCATGGTTGTTTAACCTCCATTAGTTCAGCAATCCAGCATGTTGGTAGGCCTAAGTCGGACCCATTTCCCTTAATTGTGAAGTTTGTCAGGTAGTTATAATGGAATGTTAAGGGTATGCTGCCAAGCATATTGGTGGTAAACAGAGTCATGGTCATCCATACCTCGAAGCCCTGTCTGTATGTCCCATTTGTAGTCGATTCAATCGGATAAACATTTGGTGTTTCTCTTGTCAACAACTTTTAAAAGTTTTAACTTGGTTTTGGGATAATTGAATTTTCAACAGCGAAAGGCAAACCGACCTTTGGGTGTTTCCAAAGGCCATATTTATCTTCTTCAATCAATCTTGGTTTTTTTTTTTTCCATTGGCGACGGTGTTTCTTGTTCTGGTATTTAAATAGGGGAGTCTTTTAGAGTTGATAACGAAGAGGGACGCGGGAAATAGAAGGCGAAAAGGAAACCACAAGGAAAGAAAAAAGAGTGAAAGGACTCGCAACAATGTGCTGCAAAGATTGGAGATTTGCGTGGAGTTGCTGAAACTAGCCATAGAGTTTGTCATGGTCGTAGCTGAAGCAGTTGGGGTTGTCATTCACCAAAATGACAGGGCGCCGGTGTTAACGGGTAGGCGGTCTTTCGCTGCTCCGGTTCCCTTCGTTGGGTTTCTTCCTTGATTGTCACTTTTTTTTCTGGTTTTTTCCATGCGAGAGCCACTGATCCTTGTATAACTTGTTCAATTAGAAGTCTCAGGTTTGGACCAGCCTTTGTAATTTTGTTCTTTCTCTGAATAGCTAGCTAGGGTTGGAAATATTGAAATGTGTAAATATAGGCTTAGTAGGTATGATGTTCCACCACAGGAGGTACCTTTCTTTCTGAATTTCATCGTTTTTGGTTGAGTGCTGGGGTGAGGAATTTGATTCATTATTCTACGTTTGCTTCAATTTTTGCTTGTAATTCAAGTTAGAATCAAAGAAAACTTGTTTCAAAAAAAAAAAAGGTACAGGATAAGGAGAGACGGAGGAGGAGATGAGGCAGAAGGATGCAGACAGTTTAATTTTAACTTTAACGTACTCCATGTGTCCAACAACAGTATTGTACCAGAGACATATGGTTTTGTCTCTGCTTTTGGACACAATTGCATTGATGAATATTGGCAGATATTTTTGGCTTAGAATATCCGGCCCTTTCGTTGCATGATGCATATTTCATCAGTATGTATTTTTCCAGATAACTATGAGTCGAGGATGACGAGCGAGCAACGAAGTATCTTTACAAAAAAGAACTGGTTAATAAACCCATTCCTTTTTCAACCTTTTGGAGCTCGGTGGCCCAAAAATTCAATCCAGATAAGACAGCTTGAAGAGTGAAGACTTTATTCCCTGAATGTGATCATGAATAAGCAACCCATCTGCCCGTTTCACTACAAGTTACGTCCAAGCATTTGTTGGGGATGGATAGAGTTTGAGTGACTTGGCACTGGGCGCACGCTTCTACCGCTTCAAATGGAGTTGTATGCGTCAGAGAGAGGTGGTGATGGTATAGAGAAACATCTATATGCGTATTGTGCATGCATTGTTGGTGATATTTATCGTCCCTCCTCGTGACTCATCATCAGCATTTCCATACAGCAACATCTTTCATGGATATTGGATTTGGATACTTTTCACTTGGTCCAAATTCAAATTGGGAGTCATTTCATTGCCAAGCTGGACTGATAACAAATTCCCAAAAAAAAAAAAACGCATGACTTAAAGAAATTAGTAGTATTTTTTAATTTTTATTTTTGAGTAGATTAATTAATGATTTTCACAAATGACACGTATGATTTTATGATGCATCGGTCTTTCATAGTTATATAGTTCATATATATTTCTAAAGACATTAAAGCGGTATAAAGATGAAGGTGAACCTATTTCCAATTAGGTTGGTCTTAATTTTTTTTATATGAAATAAAATTGTATAGAAAGTGCATAATTATTGATGATTATGACTTGTTTATTGAATAATATGGATTATTCCCACTTAAAAATTAATCAAATACACCATCCATACCATAAACATGATTTATTAAATTATTAATTGAATTATAATTATAATTATACTATTATTGTTGTAATGTGATGATTGCTTTGATCTATTTTACATGTTAATCACATGATTTGGAACCAATTAAAAACATTGCTTCTCCATAGTCATGAAAAATAAAATAATGGCAACTCATTTCAAAATCAAGCAATACGTTGGCTATTGTTTAATGTTTCTGCCTCCTTTTGATTAGTATTAATTTAAAGTCAATTTAATCAGAGTATGCTACTAATAATGCGAATTTTCTATTCATTTATTAAAGCAAAAAAAATCTAAAAACCAAGATTCGATACAAAAAGATGATTAAGTTGTAAATTCTAGAATACATTATTTGGAACAAGTAAACTTAAACATTCTTTATTTTTTATCATTATTATTTTTTGAATAATATTAGCATAATTTCGTAGCAATGCTTAGGAGAAGATTGCAAAGTTGTTTAGGCTTGGACATCATGACCATATGATCGGATCCTTTGACCTCTTGTACTTGATGGGGCGGGTTTTTCTCAATCATCCAATATACTAAATCCTTCTTTGAGACCATGTCTTTTTCCGAAATTATAAAAACCCGATTAACCGACCCGTATCTCTTCTCGGAAAGTACTAGTTCTCTTGACATGTCTTCCATGCTGTACAAACGTATTGGTCTCATCAACATATTAGCCAATGCCCAATCCTGCAATCATACTCTTGCATAATTTCAGTGTTACAGTAATTTAAAATCTTAAAACATTTTAAATGGGCTGCATGAATCAAAGATAGTTGCACATCATCTTACCTCACGTGGGCTAAGCTGGTAGACCCGGGAAGAGAGGTACAAGGGACCAAAAACAAAGGTAGTTGGGGGGTTGTTGGGACCATTATCGTAAGTGTAGCGGCTGTCCATTTGGGAATCTTGCTCCTTAAATGCCTTTAACAAAGACAGAGAGAAAGAGACAGACACACAGAGAAATATCAGAACTTGGAAATCGTGAGGACAACGGAAGGTTACCTTTCAACGAACCAGTTTGAACCACCTAGAAAAGAAAAGAGACGAGTTGGAGCCGTCACGGATTATACATTAATAATAAGTAAGGTGAAAATTGAGCTTATAAATAAAAAATTTATTTTCACTTATTAAATATGTATTTTGAGTTGAAAACTTGAATATGTTATTAGTGACATCTTTAATCTGAATTAAGGTGCAATTTCTCTCTTTTATGATTAAAAGAATCATTCATAAATTTTACATTAATAAAAGATAAAATGAAAATTAAATCTATAAATATTTTTTTTTGCATATTTTTTAAATTAGGAAGAGAAGCTAACTCGTCACGTAGTAACCCATACAAAGGCTAACGTTGTTTGAATATTAAATTTTTTGGCCCAAAGTTCAAAGCCCGTAGCTTTGACAATTCTTAGGCCCAGATTGTGGAGTAGAAGTTAGAACTAGTTGATAATTGAAAAAAAAAAAAAAAAAAAAAACCTTGCATGCGGACCCTTTGACTGAGAGTTGAAATATTGAGGGTTGGGCCAGGCATCAAGGCGGTGACAAAAACAGCTACAGATATCTTCTCAGGAAACCTTTCCATTGCTTGAGAGATAGCCACACCGCCTAAGCTGTGGCCAACAAGGACGACTTTCTGTTGAACAGGTAGAGATTCCATGAAGTCCCTTAATGGCTTGATGTAATCAGAAATCGATCTGAGAGTGTTCACTTGCTGTGGATCCACCCCTGATCCTGCCAGGTCTATGGCGGTGACGTTGTGGCCCGCTGATTTTAGCAGTGGCACCAGCTTGTGCCATGACCAAGCACCATGGCAGGACCCATGCACCAGCACGAAGTGCTTTGGTGGTTCGGATGAAGTTCCAAGTACAATGGCAGGAACGTAGTAAATCAGAAGTGAAACTAAGACCATGAGCTTCTGCTTCTCTTCCATGTTCTTTCTGGGTTGGTTACTTTCTGCCGTTTGACAAAGCTCATCAATTTAAGGTTGGACAAGATTGTAACTTTCCAGGAAGTTGGCTTTATCTTTTGAATGAAAGAACATAGAGACAATGAAATCCTGGATCCTCAAATACTCAAAGGGAAAATGGGAGAACATTCAGCTTGATGTGCATTTGGGCCGTGGTCTATCGCCCATTTTATAAATTTGACTGACCTGGATCACATGCAAATCAGCTAAAACTTATAAGAAAAAAAATGCTTGAAACAGGAAGAACAATAATAGGACTAACTTTTTACTTATTAAAAAACAGAAAATCCAACAATTTAGAATCCCATCACTGATTTATTTTACAGAATGTCACGCTGCAAAATGCTCTTGTCCTTCCTCCGGCTTGTATTTCATAGCAATGCTTAACAGAAGATTGAAAAGCTCTACTGGCTTAGACATCAGGACCATGTGATCAGACCCTTTGATCTCTTCCACTTGATCGGGCTGGTTCTGTTGGATCATCCACCGCTGTACGCCCTCCTCGTAGATCAAATCGTATTCCGCAGCCATGAAAACCCGATTAACCGTCCCATATTTCTCACTCGTTAACACTAGTTCCCTTGACTTGACATCAACACTAAATAAACGATTTGGTCTCAATAACATGGTTGCCAGTGCCAAAGCCTATTGGTTGTCAGGGCCATCATCATATATGTACCGATTGTCCATTGAATGGTGCCCGCCGGACATCTTTCTCAACAAAAACACAGAAGAGTTCAATAAATTAAAACGGTAGGAAGATAGTCGTTAATTATAGCTAGTCAGGTAGGTAGGTCAACAGTCAGTCAGTCCCCACCATGCTTTAAAGAAAACCCCTTTAAATGAGAAGTCATAGATTTATCTAAATCGAAAGTTCTTAATATACTGGTATATATGTTGTCACTACGAAAATTAAAAGGGAAATAGGGGAAAGGTAAATGGGTAGAAATTGAATGCCTACATGTTGAATTAGTGTGGAAATGTTGAGGGTCGGACCACGCACTATGGTAGCAACAAAAACGGCTACAGAAATCTTCTCAGGAAACCTTTCCATTGCTTGAGAGATCGCCAAGCCACCCAAGCAGTGACCAACGATAACCTTTTCTTCCAAGGGTAAAGATGCCATGGCGTCCCTCAGTGGCTTGATGTAATCAGAAATCGACCTGAGAGTATTCTCTTGCTGAGGATCTATCCCCGATGCCGCCAAGTCTATGGCAGTGACATTGTGGCAATCTAATTTTAGAAGTGGCACCGGCTTGTGCCACGACCAGGCACCATGGGATGCCCCATGGACTAACACCAAGTGCAGAGGACGTGGCTCTGATGAAGTTCCAAGCACAGGGAAAAGAAAGGCAGATCGCAAGTGAAACTAAGACATTATGCTATTGCATTTGTATTTTTGTCCTTTTTAATTTTTGTGGTTTTGTATTTCCCCAAGATATGTACATATGTCTCATCAATTTATAAGCAGAGATACCTACTTTATGGGATTGTCCGCCGCCTATTTTATGAATCTGGGCTCATATTTTACATCAGTTAAGAAACAATGCTCAGCTAGGGACCGTAGGCAAACCCTAATAGAGTAATTGGAAGCATCAATTTACAAGCTTTCCAATAATTCCATTTATCAGAATTTGCCACTGTTAAAAATCTGGGGGAAAAAAACTGAGCTGATGGACCATATTTGCGTCAGAAACCAAATTATTTGCCTGACAGAAAGAAGTTGTGGTCGCCTAAGTGGATGAATGCCACTTTGATAAGTATTCATAGGAGATCATGTGAACATTTTACTCTCAATTTGACAAAATATATGAGAATCATCAAAAGTTACTGGAAATACTTATGTTCGTAAAGAAGTTTCATTGCTGTCAATCATAATGGTTCATACCAGAAATATTAACCACACCATGTCTTCAAAGTCTTCTCCTCAGCAATAACAGCATGAAATTTACGGGATGAAATTATTATTGCTAACATACATATGCTGTCAAGAGCTAATGCTCCATTTTATTATATCACAGACAGTGCTCCTTCTAGATGATCTGCTAACTCTGATATCCTGAAGTGCTGGATTTGGATGTTTTCGGCGTCAAGCTTCTTGAAATTACTTCCCTTTCTAGTGATGAGAAATTTTCCCCAATTGTACGGCCTATATCTGGGGGGATTTTTCTCACTTGTCAGCTCCTCTGAGGGCTTCGCTATGGTGTAATGTGCCGGATTGAAGAAGAATGGAATAGAAAACCTTTCCCTCTCGGAATTCACCATGACCCTGTGCTCTACACTCTCATAAGTCTCATTGCTCCAAACCTGCACATGCATTTTGAATTAGTGACCAGGCCGCAACTAATTTTCCATATTTCTACAGAATACGTCTCTGGTCAGAAGTTGAAAAAGAACCATTTAAACTTGCAGCCATCACTCATCAGATAGGCCTCCCAGGTGCATACGTGGAACCAACAGGCTATATCCCTGCTTATAACTTAGAAGTTTCAGGATATAATTTCATACATTAGTTGTTAAGTGGTTAGGCAAAACCTGGATGCATAATTTTCTAATATGGTTACTTGTTGGAGTAGCAATCCATCAGCGAAATACTATCATGAAAAGTTCCCAAACTAATTCTCAAAATACTTTCCAACATTTGCTATTTTGTGCGCCGTGCAGACATTGAGTTCTTTGCTTGGTTCATATACATGATTAACAACTAAAGAATTATATTATCTGTGATTGGCCATGTTAACTTGAGTTCCAAAACATTACCTGAATAATGTCACCAACATTAATGATAAAAGCATCCGGGGTAGGTTTGACGCAGATCCACTCTCCGTCTGATTTTCGCTTCACTTGCAGTCCTCCTACATCATCTTGAGCAAGAATGGTCAAGGCACCAGCATCCTTGTGTCGGCCAACGCCTAGAGCTAGGTCAGGAGCAGGGCAAGGTGAATAGTGGTTAAGCCTGATGAAGCTGGTTTGGTCCTTGAAGAAGCCATGGAACCTATCCGCTGGCAAGCCTAAGCTCAAGGCAATAAGTTCCATCAACTTGTAACTTAATTTTTCCAGTTCCTCTGCATATTCTTCACATGCCTCTCTGTCACATAAATTAAAATTGCAAAAACCATTAGAGCTTCACAGTTGAAACTTCTTACCCCCAAAAATATCAACTTACTAGGTACAAAATTTGGTGTATTTAATGAAAAACAAACAAAATAATGAAGATATCAAGTGGTAAAAAGGTGGAATTTTATTAAAATTGCCTTAGTTCATGAGGATAATCAGGCCATTGATTATGCCACTCAACTACTGCCTTGTCATCAGGGTGTGTTGAAGCTGGGACTATAGTAGGATTTTGCACAGTAAAATCAAACACCTCTTTCCAATCTCTAACATTCTTGGTATGCTCAGTGTCATAATAGCCTAAAACCTTCACTTCATTTCTCCTGATCTTCACCTTCTCTTCCCATGGTTGAGCAAAAAACTTCCTGGACGCCTTCTCAAGTTTCTGGCGTTGCTCCAACGGTACCCCATGGTTGATTACTTGGAAAAATCCCCAGTTCTTGCATGCATTACCTATCTCAGAAACAAGGCTGTCAAGGGTGCTAGGGTCTGATACTGCATCAGGTGAATTCAACATCGAAAGATCAATGGAGGGTATTCCTTCAGCTTCAATGATCGAGAGTTTAGGCCTGTGTTCAAGCTCTTGGATGAAAGCAGGATCAACTTCTCCCATTGCGTTTTCTTGTTATCAAGTGGTCAAGTGAAAAGGAAAAATTGAATTGGTTTTGTCAGTGCGAACTGATAGCCAGAGGAATGGTTCTTTATATAGTACAAGGTTGGAGTTTAACCGAGATTGAACCTGGACAGTTTTTGATGAAAAATTCGGAGGGTAACTAGGCAAAGGAAAGATTAGCAAAACTCTATTTTGGGAGGTTGTGACCTCTATTTTGGCCAAAGGAGAACATTTTTGGATTCCTATTAGGCAACAATCAATGCGGCGGAAGGTTTTGATTAAAATTGGGTTAATAAAATTACAAAAATGTTTAAATAATTTTATCGAGTTTTAATATTCTATTAAAATGAATGCTTTAATTAAAAATAACTTTTTACAATCAAATACATCTCAATGTAGACTTAATCCTAGTTATATTTGTTCATCTTGGACTAATATTAATCCACTTAGAAGAGATGAAAAAAAAAGTATTTGTCACTATTGACTTGCCATTGGCGTGCCATATTTGTCAATTTAAATGGACTAACATGGTTTATGGGGCAGGCTAAAGATGCTAGGCAAGTAACGTCTCAAATTCAATTTTGTACTTGATTTAAACAAGACAGGTTGCCGAAATTCATCCATAATCTCTTGGTTTGCATCACTTCTTTGTTTGGTTTCTTAGACAAACAAATAAAATGATGTCTGATCCACTCCACAATCTTGTTTCTGTTCATTCCCAAAGTAATTTAATTCATCAAATCATGTTTTTATGCTAATGAGTAAGGATTTGGTTGAGAAGAAGCCCGTAAATGAAAGGATTGAGAATCCTTCCAAGTCCTTCATAAAATGACATCGATTCATAAAATAACATGAAAATGATCCATGATGCTCCCTGCAGGATCGCTGATTTAATTTAACACTTAGGGTCTTGTAGCTAAAACATAGTAAAGGATGTTTTAGTGTATATATGATACAAAGTCTCTGCTTATTATACCCTGAGCTGATATGGAAACACGTGCTGGTAGTAGCTGATACTGCGGCAATCAATTAGACGCCTTGAAATGATGAATTTGAATGTTTTCAGCTTCAAGTTTCTTATAGTTACTGCCGGTTCTATTGACATAAAATTTTCCCCAGTTATACCCTTCATACTTTGCTGCATTTTGCTCATTCACTAGCTCCTCTAGAGGCTTCACTGTGACATAGTGAGAAGGGAAGAAGAAGAATGGAATAGACAATCTTTCCCTTTCAGAATTCACCACCACTCTGTGCTCTGCACTGACATAAAGATCATTACTCCAAACCTGCAAAACATCATTTGTTAGGCTCTTTATTGCAGGTATAAGAAAATAGCAGGGGATCATAAACCACTGATTAAGCAAAATGTTAGGGTGCCTTGGTGGTAGGTATATTTAGACATAAGGAACTTGTCTAACAATGCCAATACCATGGTACCTGAAGACTATCAGCAATGTTGATGATATAGGCATTTGGTATTGGTTTAACAGGAATCCACTCCCCACTTGACTGCTCCTTAATCTGTAACCCTCCGACATCATCCTGAGCAAGGACGGTCAAGGCACCTCCATCCCTATGTCGACCAACACCAAGTGCTAGCTCAGGGGAAGGGCAAGGAGGATAGTAATTAAGCCTCAGCATACCAGTCTGGTGTTTGAAGTAGTCACTCAACCGATTAGCAGGCAAGCCTAAGCTCAGAGAGATGAGTTCCAACAACTTGAAAGCTAGTTTTTCCACTTCTCGAGCATACTCCTGGCATGTCTCCCTACATACACAAACAATTGCATAAACTAAGTGCAAAACCCGAGGCTGTGATCGGGGGGTGATGAGGGATGAAAATGGCCACATCAAAATTGTTTTTTCGAAAGCAATTGGGACAGGAGATTCAAATCTGGCAGAGGTGAGAGCCATAACGGAGGCTTTTTTGCTGTTCATTGCATCCATTTGGGGCCATTCCCACACCTTGACCATTGAAAGCAATTCAAGAAACGGTGTTAAGTGGGTGAATCAGCCAACTGAGGCCCTGTGGAGGTTAAGGAAGTGGATTCTCCATATCGAGAGACTGAAAAAGGATGTCAAAAGCTGGGAGGTGACACACATCTCTAGAGAGAATAACCAATTGGCTGATAGCCTCGCAAAAACAGGAGTGCAATGCACTGAGGACTTTATCAATGTCCTGGAACAACATGTAAGTGCATGTATGTTCTGCTATTGGATGTGTTTTACTCATGAACAGGTGCCGAAAGGCCATGATGAGGTTTGTCTCTTGATGGTGGAGGCTTTTTGTACAGTATGTGTAGTGCCTGTGGCAAGCATGTACAGTGCATGATGAAACTTTTCGATGGGATGCGGGGATGCATATAATTCTACTTTCTGGAAATGTGTTCTCTGGTTACTGG